AATACAATTTATCATATTTCACTTTCATTAGTAGTTGGTTATTCACTTATTGTTCAACATATATGAAACTATAGGTTAGGTAAGAGGTCATATATGGAATTTGCCAATTTTGTAATGCATGACCAAATAGTGAATGATATATAAGAGTGTATCTTAGAAATAAATGAAGCCTTCGATAAAAATGATACCCTTTTTTTTATAACAATAGTTGTTCAATATTAATTTGACACACACTTTAAAAAATAATAAATAATAAAAATGATATTATTTTATTACTTTTTTGAATATGTCAAAATTAATATTTTAAAAATATATTAAATATTGAATAGTATTTAATAACAAAAGATAAATTATAAAAAAGATAATTATCTATTAATTTTCTAAATTAAATAAATATTATTAGATAAGATTACTATAATATAATGGACAACTAAATATGGTTAAATTTAAGGCAGGTTATTGGAATTGGGTGATGTTATGGGAAATGGAAATATATGTGAATATGATCCACATGTGGAGCAATAGGTACAACCCCACAAAACCATGATCTCGACCTTTTTGATTTTTGATTTTTGGTTGAAAATATGAGTGGCTTGAGATGGAAAGGAAGGAAAATGAAGCAAGAAATCTAAATTTGCTTTTGAAAGTGTGAGAACCGTTTGAGAACGTATTCGAATAATAAATTTTTAGTAGTTTGTAATAGTGGATTGCTCTAAATTTAAAATTGATATTTATGTCGAGAATCAATATAGTGATGGAAAGATGGTTAGTTCGTAACTTAGGTAGAAAAGATCATCAGATCATAGCTTGCGTGAAAAAAAAGCTAATTAATTAGAATTAAAATTGGAAAGAGACAAAAGAGACATTAATGAAAACCAAACAATGAACTTCTGGTAGCTAGTAATAGTTGAAATGGTGAGATAGATTGCTGCAAATTTAAAACTGAAATTTACGTGGAGACCCAATATTTTAACGTAAATTGTTTGATCGTAACTTGCGTGAAAAAAATGGTTAAATTTATATAATCACATTAAAAAAGAGCTAATTAATTAGAGCTAAAATAGGAAATAGACGAAAGAGAATTTGATGAAAACTTGATAAAAAACTTTTGGTCGATAATAATAGTTGAATTGATGAGATAGGTTGCTTCAAACTCATAATTGACATTTATGTCGAGAGTCAGTATTGGGATAAAAATATTGTTAAATCATAACTTAAAGTGAAAAAAATTAATTAATCATAACTTATGTAAAAAAAATAACTAGTCAATTAAAATTAAAATAGCAAGAGAGAGAAATTGATGAAAATCGAAAAATGTGTTTCATAGGCAATACAATTGTTATTAGTAATCAATCTTTGTGTTTAAGAAATTATTAATCCACATATACTGTGTGTCATGATTTAATAAAATTTCATGAATAAATTTACATTCTACAAATTAAATTTTATAAAATTTGCAGAAAAAAATATATCACATCAAAATATTAATATACTTTAACTTTTATCGAAGAAAGCACAAAAAATATATTACAACGACATGTATGTATGTCCCAACATTACAAGTATCGACATCTCTTAACGCAAACTCTAAATATCAACTCAAATACAAATACTTTCGCAAATAAAATTAAAAGTAATTTGTCATAAAAAAAAATTAAAATTAACCTAAAAAAAGTACTATACTAGTACTTATTAGCAAACCGGTCTAAAGCCAAACGACGGTTCAAGCGTTGATTCCGGCTGGACCGGGTTTAGTGTTGGACCCAGTAGCCATGTTGGCTACGTGAAATTGTGACACGTATTTGTAAGCTGGACCTTCTCGTACTTCTACTGGTGGCTCATTTAAATGTGCCCAATTGCTACTTATCCACCTGCAATTAAAAAAATATTTTTTTATAAATAAATGAATATATTATTATTTTTTAATCAATCAACTAAAATAAATTCATTTAATTAAATATACTATAAAAAAAAACCCGATCTTTTCTATAATTAAACCAGGAGTCAAACTTGCTACTTACTACTAATAAAGATCATTAACTCGTCTAAATTTCATAGTTTTAAAAGCCAATTGCAGTATTTTTCTAATCTTTTTCATATTACAAAAAATTTCTTAAAATTTATAATTTCAGATATATTACTGGACTTACGAATACAGTTGAAGACATAAAGATACATACGTTCGAGAGGATGCACTAGAAAGCTCGGTATAAGATATTCGAAATATTTTAGCATACACCTAGATACATAGGTGAAAGATGTAACTGGGGGTAGAGAGGGATGAATCGAGAGAAGATTTTTGAAATTCTATTTAAATGATTAAAAATTTAGAAATTGTGATAAAATAAAATATATCTTTAATTATTTTTTTCATAAATTAATTACCATCCATTTTTCCTGATTAGTTGATCCAAACTTTCCTCATTTTCCAAATTAGAAAGACTTTCTTCCGCTGTTTTAGTTGCCTCCTCAAATACAATATTCGCCTGTCTCCAATTAAAACAATCAAAAATTAATTATCATAATATTACGAATTCGACGGAACTTAATAATTATAATAATTTAAAATTCTAAATCCGTCTATGTATACCTGTTTTTGGCTTCGAGGGGATAACGTAGAGATATATTTTTGATGCTCTTCTTCAATTAGTTTTTTTGATCTCCAATATGCATCTATCTCTTTCTTTGTTAATGACTTATTTGTTCGTAATTTCACTGTAAATTAAATCCAAAAAAAGAAAAAAAAACAATTAAACAAATTATAAAAGAACTTATATTATTTGTCATTAATTAAAGAAATTAAGACTAAAATGAACTTACTAGCTTGAGGATCAGAAACAGGAGAGTCCCAACCTGCCATAAGAGAACCCATAATTATCTCTTTTTGTTGCTAATTAACTTCTTAATTAAACTTAACACACAGTTAATTAATTTCACTCAACTTGTTATATGAAAATTTGGTGGAAAAATTGAGTCTATTTTATAGAGAGAAGAAAACAAACAATTGGTTTATGGTGGGGCCTACCTTAATTTGCTGCTCTTATCTCTAACAAAAAAACAAAACACTATTTTATTATTAAATTAGGATAAATTTATACCAAACCAGGGACTTCAGCATATGGTTTCTTTCGTGCCTTTGACATATTTCGGATTTCGAAAATTAAATAAGAAATTCTTCGATTTCTTTGATATATTTTGGATTTCAAAAATTAAATAAAAAATTCTTTGATAGTGAGTTACTCATATATTATAATTATAATATTTTTATAATTTATAATTAAATAAGTTATTTTTTAATTAATCTTAGGAATTATATATTCGAATGCTAAATCAAAAATAAAATAGTTTCAACGTTGAAATTCGAATAATATTATATAAGTTGGGATTGTAAAATTAATTATTATTTTTTTATTTTCAATTCAATATTTAAAGTTTATAATAGAATTTTAATTAAATTTGAATCGATTTACTATAGGCTCGATAGAAAATAATACTCCCTCAAAAAATAAAACCTCTTATTAAAAATAAAATAATTTTATAACTACTGCACCGCAGCCATATCGGATAAAAATAACTATTAATAGTGCCTGGATTTCTTTTAGCCATATCGGATAGATATAACTATTAATAGTGCCTGGATTTCGTTTAGCCGCCCATAGATATACTTACAAGATAATAAAAAATATAAAGAAAATGAAAATATCTTATGTTTATGATGAATCAGTATGTCCAATAATTTATATTTGTTAAAAAATGACAAAAGTCCTATATCAGTGATTAATGAGATGGGTAGATGTTTAGACAATTCTCCTCCATTTGAACTAGCTTTTAGGGTGTGAGTTAAGCTTATGACATAATTTCACATGATATCAGAGCAGGACTCGTCTCATCCGATGTTGGGACCCTCAAAATTAAATTGTCCAGATCAGAGTCTAAATAAACTTCTTATAAGGCTTGGACAATCCTTCTCCCTTTAAACTAACTTTTGAGGCATGAGTTAGGCCGGAGACCTAATTTCACAATATCTATTCTTATCCTAGTCCAGTTAGACAATCAAATTGCTTCTGAATAGCAGATTAAAAAAATTATTTTTCAAAAAATTAAAAAATAAATTCTTTTAGGCTAAGTGCTTCTACTTTAGCCAAACATTAATTATTGCAACAACATTAACAAATGTTAAATTTAAAATTAATTAATTAGACATAAATTATAATTAAGAAAGTATTTTTAATTTAAAAATCTGAGCAAACATACTTTAAATGTATGTGCTCAATAGTAATTAAACTACCACCAGATTAAGAATCTACGGACAATAAAAGTAACAGACTATCTTTTACTTATAAAGAAATGCTAAAACAATTTTTCTACGTTTAAAATATAAAATAAGTTAAATCTCTATATTAGGAATTTGAGCTTTAAATTCTAATTAAAAAAATGAATCAAATATGTTTGATTTCATATTCTCGAAGATTCATTACTTTATATGGAATTGAGATTAAACTTGAATTGGATAACATGTAACTTGGATATTATTATTATTATCTAATAGAAAAAAAATGCTAAAACAATTTTTCTACGTTTTATATATAGGAAGTTTGAAAAATAAGTTAAATCTCTATATTAGGAATTTGAGCTTTAAATTCTAATAAAAAAAATGAATCAAATATGTTTGATTTTATGTTCTCGAAGATTCGTTACTTTATATGGAATTGATATTAAACTTGGAATTGGAAAAACATCTAACTTGGATATTATTATCTAAAAGAAAAAAAACAAACATTATCAACATCAAAATTTGCTTTGTTACTTTTAAATGTCAATTTTTATCTCCAGCATATACCTGGCATCCACTTCTCATTTGTATACGTAAAACTAAATAAAATTTAGGATTATATCTTTTCTCGGTGGATATAGCGGTCACGATAATAAAAAAATTGTATATATTATCCATCTGTAATTTTGAATGACTAAAATATCTGTTCTGAACGATTGGTCAGAACGAATCATATTTTTATGGGCTAATTTTATCGTCCATATAAAAGAGAGATAAAAGTTGACAAGTATACATTGTTTAAGAACAAGAATTTGATTACATTAATCTTTGAATAGATAGACCACTCTCTCTACAAAATAAATCCAAGATCTTTTGTGTCTTCACTAAAACATTGGTCATATTTGTAGAGGGTTCAAATAATAACTAAAACTATTTTTTTTAAAAAAAAAAAACAAATACATAGTAGAAAATAAATTTTCAAGTTTTATGGGCTGCTTCTCTTTTTGTTGAATTTGTTGGAGTTGACTTTAGATAAAGGTGTTAAATGTGTGGGCTTGGACCTAGTCCAACTTTTTGGGCCCATAATACTTTCCTTCAAGTAGGGCACAGCTTCTTCACTAGACAAAGTCTTTAACCAATTTACCCTCTTATTAGAACTTGCACCAGGCCCATAACACTTGTACTCAGCAAAATAGGATGTCCTGTTACCAATGAGATGGGAAATTTTATTAATTGACTATCTGAACTCTCACTTAATTGGTGATGGTACATAATAATCTCCTTTCTATTTCCTCTTCTCGTAAAAAGACGGAAAAAAAGGGGAAGGAGGCGAACCTAAAATAACATGAAAGGAAATACTTGCAATTTCTTGAAATAAATACGGACTAGATAAAATACAAAGGGATAATAGAGGAAAAAGATTCATATAGGTGACGTCAAGTAGGTTTTAGTCTTATAGACCCCACTAACTTTCTTGGAACTTAGGTTTAGTTATTGTTTATAGTTATATCAACAAAGTTAAAATAGTATACATATTCGATACATTGTCGATGTTTATAATGAGTCAAATCGATATATATCTTACCTTTGTCTGGAGGAGTCATTCCAATCTTCCCAACCATTGGGGAGTATAACACTTGACATGTAAGTTTGAGCAAATACAACCCTAGCATAAGCACCCCATGGCCTCCCAAGAATTGCACTCTTCACTCCAGTAATCTTACATCCATAGAAAGTGAATCCAGTATTCTCTTGAGGTGATTGTCTATGTTGTGCTGTTATAGCCCCATTCGATTGCGAAAGCGAGTGCAAATGACATTTCTACCCCCAATAAAAAAAACGACGCGTCAGTTAAGTGATAAATAAGACAGATAATTAATTTAATGTAAATATCGAATACATATATACCGTATATGTTTTATGTTACCTCAAATAGAGAAGCAGCATTTCCACATATGAAATCAGTGTCACCTTCAATATAACAATTTTTATAATAATGTCTACCAACATCATCAAGTAATGTGTCTTGATGTGACATAATTCTACAACCCACAAAGGTTGCTTTATCTCCTTCTACTCTCAATGCTACTGCTTTTGCTCCACTTCCATATGTGTTCTGTAATTAATTAACATCAATAAAATAAATACTCGGGATAAATTGAATTTGAAAAACAGATTAAAATGAACTGTGTTAAAAATCATCCGCTCAAAAACTACTTGGTTTGAGGTAGGTCAGTCAAGATGGGATAAAAAATGAGTCAATATCCAACCCACCCAACTCTCAAATAATCTTAATTAATTTGTTTGTTTTCTTATAATTTATTTAATCACCTAATAACACTTCTTATCATTATTATTATCATCATATATATATATATAAAATTGTTCTGATATAAGTTTTCTCATTGGTTAATTTAGGCGAGTTATTTAGCCTAAATCAATCCAACTTTTAGATAAACTGAATTGAAGAATCAAAATAGGCTAAACTAATAAAATAGGCATATTATTAATCCATCGACTGAATCATGTTTTCATGTGCTAATTTTTATCACCTAAACAAAGTAACCTAATGGATTAATTAAACTACAATAATATGATCAACAACAACGGTAATAAACCCGGTGTAAATTCACAAAATAGGGTCTAGAGAGGGTGGAGCATACACAAATCTTAACCCTACACTATTTCTGATAGATTTTCGACTCGAGAAAAAACAGTTTGAAAAAACAGAAATAACGATTGCGATTATAAAAATAAATAAATTATGCAACATACCTGAATTGTAAGGTATCTAGCCACAAAGTCAGAAGCAAAAACAGTGAAAGTTGGAGATTTGAATATATCTCCATAATCATTTCCAGTAATTATAGTATTTTTGACTGTTGTTTTTCTCCCACTAATTGTTATAAATGGCTTGTCACTTGGAACAACAACTTTTTCTCTATAAACACCAGGTTTGACCAAAATAAACACATGTTGTGTATTCTTTGAAGGCACTGCATCAATTGCATCTTGTATTTTCTTGTAATCACCTTTACCAGATTGATCTACTTTAATCAAAATTGCATTTGACAATTGACTTGATGATGTCGTCGTAGCTTCGGAAAAAATAACTAAATAACTCGTAGCTAATAGAACAATCGTAATTATTGAAGTGTACCCGTGAAATAATGTCATATCTTGAATAACAGTGATAAAGTCAGAAATTTTAATATACCTGTTATACAGAAGGGGAAATGAATTTAAGAAAGTAATAAACTTCTTGCATTTTTCGTGGAATCGAATATAAAATACTAATAGACAAAATAAAATGAAATTTTGAATTACCTTTATTCGTTACGCTAGAAAATCCAACAATATATATGAATTTTTAATTTTTAAGTTTGAGTCCACCTAGAAACTCAAACTTAGAAAAAGAATTTTGGAACTTTGGGAAAATATGTAACTTTAAGACAATTGAATAATAACCTTCTATATGAGTATATATATATATAGACATAGTGGACAATGACAACATTGGCAAGGTCAATTTTCAACAAGTTTTCTTGAAAATAAAGTAGTTCAAAATTCTGATATTTCTCCATTAACTCGAATATAACCATATTTTTCTCCATGCCAAACTTTGTAAATAAAAACACATGGCACATATAAAATAAATTACCTCAATTAGGTTTTTTTTAAACCCTTCCGAAGGCTTCTGCCTGTTTGCTCTCTTTGTGACTCGAACTCTGAAACTCACGATATATTTACCATCTGAACAATTCTGTCTTGTCACCTTAATAAGTTTGCAGTTGTTACTAAAACTTTATTTTTGAAAAAATAAAATAAAATATAATAGTGTGGGAGTTTGATTAAAGTGGGGACTAGGGAAGTTGGCAATTAGGAGAAGTAGGCGGGAAAAAAAAAGGTTTGTTTATATTATTTCAGTTAATTTGCACGTATAAAATTTGGCGCCGTTTATACTTTATATTATAAAGTTTATAACGATTTTAATTGCCTAATTTAATTTGAAGTATAACTGTATAAGTACGTGCTGCACAACATTTATAATATAGTGGAAAATTACCTTAATTCTTTAGGCATTTAATTTTAGAATGAAAAAATAAATAAAATGATTGACTGGTCAAGGATGAACGACTTGTAAAAAAAAGTCAACTTTTAGATGTATTAAAAATAATCATTAAAAGTTATTCGATGGTTAATTACCACTAATTGCTTTTGGTACAAATCTTTGGAATTGCTTTTTAAATAAATTAAACGATTTAAGCTTGTTTGACTTTTAATTTGCTTATTATGAAAATAAAGCACTGACGAAAAAAGTATTATTTATCAGAAGTATTTTTTTTTTAAAAAAGATTTGAAAATATATTTTATGAAGCAATAAATTATATTTGACTAAGATAACAAAAATGTTTAAAAGTTGTCAATATACACATTCGGCATGAGGTAGTTAATTAGTTATATTATGGTTGTATGTATCATATTCTATATATTATTTAAAAGTTGTAATTAACGAAATATTAATAAAATATTTTGTTCTATATACGTTTGGTAACCAATGACTCTCGACCTAAAACGTATTTTCAATTCTGTGGATATAAAATAAACTTCATATATATTTTTTTCTAATTTTTATTTGGCCAAACATCATTTTATTAAATAAGTGGATAAACGTAACCCTCGTTACCTGCTCAAAGCTCAACAAACATTATATATTTCTATAAATCACAGTTAAAAAAACAAAGAGGAGATGTGAAAATATGAAAGTTAAATCACGTAAAAATTAAAAAATATCAATATGTTATATATATACATATGAATATATTTTTACTTTACACATAGACGATACCTTCAAGTATATGTGACTACGCCATTGGATACGCACAATAAAAACTCATAAACATTTAATTCTATAATGGGAAATTAAAGAAAATGACATAAAAAATATATCTACAAACATTAGACAATAGGTCAACTAACTTCAACGGTTTAACTATGTCATTAAATGTTATTATTATATTAATTAGTCACGATCACAAGTCCATGACATTTCTTAATTTTTCAACTAACGAAAAACTATATTTGACTCTTAAAAAAAAATGTATAGAGATAGCAACATCATATCCAACATTGACTTATTAATTGCATTTGTCATACGTAATCTATAGATGTGAACCGCGATTGACACAGGTGATTGAGTTGATGTATCAGCAATATCACATAATTAAAGAGTTTAAGAATTGAATCCCACGTGATCCTTTCTAATCGGTGGAGTTAATACATCGGACCTGTAACATCTTCTGTGTGATTTGCAAGTTATTGCACAGGACCAGGTTTACCCAGTATGCACATTGAGTTTCAATAAACTTTGCATAATCTCTCTGTTTAGAAAGACAAGCTATTATACTCCTTCGATTTGGATGCATAATTCGAAATCAAAATGCTGAAATTCATAGTTAAGGCTTTAACCTTTTTGAGTTGTCCTGAGAATTTGAATATTGAGAACAAAGCTATAGGTAAAATGGTGAGACTACTTACGAGAAACATGTACCACGTAACTCTGTCCACGAAAGGTAGGATAGATAGAAAGAAATCACCTGAGTCGTGTTTTTGTCTACATTAGAATTTGAACTTGAGACCTCATAGTTCTTATCTCGCTTCATTCATCACTAGGACAGGTGTGCTCTTTTGCATATTCAATAGTGTGAAATGTATTTTTTGATGTTCCTTTTGTTAATTCAACATTATTTGTTTAATGTGTTCTTCGTCATGAATTTGATTCCACGATTAGTACTCAGTAAACGAGTTATCAAGGGAAGGAAATGACATGGAAAATAACTATTCATGAGATTAATAAGGTCCTTCACATGTACGATATACGCGAAACAGATAACAACATCTCATGGATATCATGTTTTATTGATCATTTGCATCACAGTTACAATTGCTATCAACAGATCTTATTGAAAATGTATAAAATGATATGTTAACTTTCATTAGTTACATGCATTAGTTTCAAGGAGTGTCGATATCATTATCTCTCTTCTTCTTACGGCCAACATGGCAACCATGTCTCCGAGGTTTTTCAGGGTTATCTGAATCAGAATCACTTGGTTCAACGAAAAGACCTTCGAGACATCTTCTTTTGATTGTTGGCTTGTATGTATGTTTCTGAGGACGGATAACATTGTATTCGGACTTGTGTGCCTCAATCAGTCCAGTTGTCTCGCATGATTTTGTTGGTTCGGAAGGCATACGAGGGAATATCATGTGTATACCTGGATTTTTCCCCTGAATGGTACTGTCAAATGTAATTGAGTTGTTAAGCCCCTGCACATTGCAGTTCATGTATGCCTCTAGTCCTTGATCTTTCATCGTCCTTGCATCGTTTGTTTGTTTTCCCTTTGAAGTTCCCTCTGCATCAGTCGTTGCATCGGTACTTTCATCTGCATTCAGTTTATAGCCTCTGTGAATGTGAACTGCCTTTCCTTTTCTGGATGAGTTTGAACTAAGTTGCATAGATGCTCCTCTGTTATCCCCTGCAAGGGTGACTACGCTCACCGGCCCCTCTTCCAATTTTTGCTTGCCATCTCCAACAGTCATCCTATTAATTAACTTTGAGATGTTATCTTTTACCTCTTTGTTAAGGGGTACATCTTGTTCAGCTGAAATTGTTCTTGTCTGTTTCCCATTAGAGACACAGTTCACCCGAATTTGATCATTATCAGAACTGGCTTGCTTCTCAGTATATGCTTGCTTTGATTGAAACACAATGTCTGGCTGCTCACGGTAGTTTTTATCTGTGGTCTCTTGCACAACTTCCTTCACTTCTTTAGTTTCCGGGATGTTTATCTCCAACGGCCTGGCTGTTTTAGGTTCAGTAATGATTCTTGAAGAATCTGAAGGTTTTACCTTTTGAGGTGACTTATCTTTTGCTTCAGTTGATGTCTCAGATATGGCTTCTTTTTTTAGAAGCTCCATTTGTTCTGATTGAGGCTCAACTGTTGTGAGCATTGGTTCTTTTTCAGAGTTTGATGGTAGTGTTTCGGTGGATTTGGGAGAAATTTCTGAGCTGTCGTGTGATTGTTTTGGTGGAGATGTTGGCTGGGAAATTATATCATTCGGTTGCATTTGAGAGGTTATATCAGATGGATTTGCAGAAGTCTGGTCGCTCGCAGTGCTAGCTGCCTTTGAGGTAAGTTGGTCAGTTGAAAGGACCTGAGGACCGTTGCGTGTTGGGGAGGATTTTGGACTCATTTCTTGTGATTGAGGAGCTGGACGAGACGGGGATGGAGATGGAATCTGAGACACATTGGAGTTAGTTGGGACATCAGACAGTGAAGCTGGTTGTTCTTGAGAAGGTATCAAGGGTTGAGACTCAGTTCCGGAGGGAGCACTAGATTGTGGTCTCTGCGATGTTGTGGATGTAGGGGTTTGAGTTTCAGTTTTCGGGCTAGCTGGAGCCTTTGTGGTAGAGGACTGGGTAGGAGTTTTCTTGTCAGATGAAGATTGAGGAAGAACTGAGCTACTTTCAGGTAAAGGGCTAGTATTTGTGGTGGGCTGGCTAGGTGTTTTTGGTGGTGAAGAAGGCTTTCCAGATATCGTGGTTTTTGTGGAACTTGATGGCTGCTTTGGAGATGAGTTTTCATTTACAGGACTCAAGGACGGGCTAGCTTTGGGTCTAGTACTGCTGGAAGGCTGTGAACTAGTTCGTGATCTAGAACCTTGACGAGTTGTTCGACTAGAACCAGTAGATTTGGTATTAGGCTGAGTGGCTGGTTTGCTTGCAGCTGCAGGTTCAGGTTCAGATGCAGCAGACCAAGGAAAGCGTAATCGAAATGTTGATCTTCTATCCATCTTACAAAAAAACAAATCTTATGAAGCAAATAAAAACTTTACTGTTCAATTTTCTGGTGAATGAGATGATATGAAACTACCAAAAAAACATCAATATATATATAAGATTTGTTTTTTTGATACCTTAGAACATGTAATGTCTTAACTTGCCTTCTCACCTTTTGCTTCTTTTCCTTTCAATATAGGCAATCAATAAATAATGTTCAATTGTCTTAAGATTAAGGTTAGCATCTCAAATTTTGTTTATCAGCATAATTGCCTGTCAAAGAATATCTTGGCATGAGGCAAAGGAAAAGATTAAGGGAAGAAACAAAGTTAAATTTTCCTATTAAATAGTTGATGACTTCTACAAGAAGCAAAGAATGTAGAAGCAAAATTCGCGTTTAAGCAAAGAACAACAAAACTGGAGTTCATATAAGAGAGTACTCATACTTCTCTGGTAACTTTCTTGCTTGAGCACATAATCATCACTAGCTGAGACAAAATTGCCAACTGAAGATATCATTTCCTCAAGGTAACTTCTTCAATTTTCTTACTACTTTCGAGTCAGAATTTTGAGTTTATGACCTCAAGTTGATACTACAATAATAACTGAGATTACGGTCAAATTTAGTAGGTTTCTTGTTATATATACAGAACTTTGAGTAAAAGTTATCAGGTTCACGTGAATCATTAATCATGCCTTGGAATCCTCCCCTGTTTGATGAACATAACATTGGAAAGCAAATGATGTTATAAGTGTTTCATAATATGATATAAGTTTCGTGCTTTAATGACAGGAACACAATGCAAGGTGTTATGCGCGTGGTTAGATCATGCCATGAAAAGCTCAAGGTGACTATTCTACAGCACCCACAATTCAAAAACACGAGTGAGATGAACAAAGTATTCGCAAGATTTGGACGTGTTATCTCCTTCCCCGTGGTGCATAGCAAGGAAGCGAATGACATAATGGTATCAGAGTTCACAATGCAGCAAAAGGGGTTGGAGAATACAACTGTTGCAGATGTACTGATGATAAAAGATGAAGAAAAAGGCAACTCATGGCTTTGTTGTCGAACAAATGACACAGCGTATGATGCCATCAAAAAAGTAAGTAGCTAAAAGATTCAACATCACTATAGAAATGTTAGATATCGATGTTAACATGACGATGGTGATAGATGGCAGCAAACAATATCGGTTCTTTGGTGGTTCTTAGGCCTGGAGAGAATCAACTGATAGCTGGAATTATAACAGAAAGAGGTAAATTTGCCTTTCAAGTCTCTAATTGATCTTTAGTAATACACACAATGTTGAACTTATTCATCTATGCACATTGTACAAGAGACGTACAGATTATTTGCGAAAGGTAATTGTACAGGATAGATCATCTAAATACACAAGAGTCGGAGATATTATGACCGAGCAGGTACTCTATAGATATCGGTCTTCCTGGCTTTATCTTTTTTTCATCTGTCTTCTGTTTTGTGCTCAAATATTAGTACTACCATTGCAACAGAGCAAGCTGATAACCGTCACATCGGACACAAACATTCTTCAAGCAATGCAGCTCATGAGTGGTAAGTATTAGTTCTAACTCGCGAAGTTACTGATGCTTAATGCACTATGGAAATGTGATGGAACGTTTTATGATCACAGAGCACCACATACGACATGTTCCAGTGATCGATGGGAAGGTAGTAGGCATGATTTCTGTGGCGGATATTGTCAAAGCAGTGGTGGATCAACAAACTGGAGAAGTGAAGCAACTCAATCAATTCATCAAAGGAGATTACTACTGAAAAACAATATTAGCAAAGCCACAACAATACTCATTGTTAACTTTCAAATTGTCAAACAAGATCTAAAAACAGTGTTCAATTTTAACCAAAATTATATTTCGCTGTAAATCTAACTTAGCTTATGCCCATACACGACATTTAAAATTATATAAAATTAAATAAATAAATATAAGTATGTATAAACATAATAAGAACACATTACACAATATATCAACCGAAAGATTTGAATTAGATTACATTACACAATATATCAACCAAAAGATTTGAAGTAGATTTGGTGGGGTGTGCCAGGCCCATGCAGTAGTGCAACGCATAGGCGACACACGAGAGCCCAAGTAGCAAGCTACCTTGATGAACTCTCCCCTTAAAAAATTGAGTTAATATCGTGTGAATCATTGATTCACATATCAGATATTAAACTGATAAGAACAGATACTACACTTGATCTTAGCCAAAAGGCCGAGAAAGGTATGCTTTAGAACATCAATGGGCCTATCCAATTATAGCACCTGTCTACTGTCTACTTATTTGTTTCTATCGATGTGGTAATCAGTGCAAATGCCTGCAAAAACTGTAGGAGCAGAACACTGTGTCTAATCAACCACAGTTTATCAATTATCAACAATTTATTTTCATATCTGAACTAAAAAAAAAAAAGATTGGATAAAAAAGAATTAACAATGTGTTTCAGAGGCGGACCATCTAGGTCACCAATCTTCTTTTTTAGGGAGTCGGAGACGATCGAAGAGGCAGCAAAATAGGAACTTTCGATCAGGGAGAGCTCAACAAGGTCGAGACCAAGATGATGGATATTCCAAGGAAGATCGAAGAAGATGAATGAAGGTTTATACCTACCCCTAACTGGCACTATGAATCCCACATAATGTCCGCCGGGTGCTCGAGCACCCATTAACTTCGTTACGGAGTATATATCTATGTAGAAATTGATAGGTATTTGTATAAAATTAACATAGAGCACCCAATGAATAAATGATTTAGTTGGCCCAATGACTCTTGGATGGGTACTTAAGACTTTTTTAGTGTTGTTGTACCAAGGTTTGAATCTCACTGTTATCACGTTCCATTAAATGTTCTTTGCAAACAAATAAAAAGGAAGTTATATTCTATAGTACTTTTTAAATATATTTCATCACTAATTATGTCTTCATTGGATTCCTCAAGTTGCCTTGCTAATTATTCTCAATTTTATATCTTGGAGAATATAATTAGCTTATTCTCTTGTGTCTCTCTTCTTGCACACTAATTACACTTGGAGTATTTAAGTTCCGTCATTAACCATAAATGAAAGTTAAATAAACCTTAAAGACATACTTATTGAATTACAAAGGAATCATATTGATATTGATACTTAAAAAGAAATGGTAATCTTCCAAGTTTTTTTTTTTCATTCCAAGAAATAGACACAACAAAAATTTTATCAGTAACTTTGGTTAGAACTTTGTACATGTGTAAAACAAAGTTCCTCATAGAATCTCGAACTCGTTACCATAAAGTTCAAATCTTTCATTTGCTTCTCTGCATAACATTACTACACACTATTATTCACCGTATTACATTATAATCATCGCATAACTAATACATGAATCAAACAATGTAAGCATACTGCAATATGAATATCACAAACCAAGAAAAAGATGTTAAAATAGAGCAAGAATTTCAACAATTATAACAATGGAGGATATCTCTTAGAAAGTAGTCTTTTATTTCTGACCACTGAATCCCAGAATCTAATATTACCAATACAAAGGCTATTAAACATTCCTCAAGCAAGACATGTTGATTCTGATTCTGCATAACTCAATTTCCTCTTCGAAAAATCGCCTTTTACAAGTATGCAAAGAGAATTCCATTCTGATCAAAAGTATGCACAGCATATTATATTTACTGTTATAAACACTCTCATTCGAAAGACAAAGATTGTTCTAATTCTCAAGCAAGATTATACGCGATCGCCCACATTTGACTCAAGAATAAACAACAAACATATCCAGAATATAAAAGTGACCACTAATCTTGCAATTTAGCTAAGATAAGGTACTCTTTTATCTTTTTATCATTTGGAACATAATTTCATTCATCATCAAAAGAAAAGAGATAAAAAGTAGCAAATAATCTGATTATTCCATTTGTGGCAAAAGTTTCTCTGTTGATTCAACTACTATAGACCTTTTCAACAACATATACTTGTCTGTGACATATACAAATATTCTATCCTTAGTGTACTTCTCAAGCTTTTACTAGCATACGACTCAACATTAAGATTGTTGATCCAATCTCAGCTCCTATGATTTTCTCTATGACGAGAGAGACGTGCCATATTTGTCTCATCAACCTTAGATATACAGTGTAATTTTTCACAGACTTGAACCTATGTGGCTCTGCCCCTTGGATACAATGATGTAAAAGGTATTCTAAATAAAAGGAACGATTCTTATACATCAGATACTTTGTTGTATAACGGCATATAGATTCCTACTGTAGTTCTTTTACTAGAATATGAACTGCGACAAATGGTGTCCTTCCACCTCATCCAAGTGGTCAGGTAGTATCTCAAATGAAAAAAGGTGTCAAAGCAAGTGGTCTAAAAGGCTTCCCTCTTTTGGTAACTTTCAGATATTTTAGTAACTACAACTCCTGACCGTGGTGTTCAGGTCAACTTCTGCTCAACTAGTTCGACGAGATACCTGTCACGTCCCACCAGCAATAGGTATCAGGTAACTCTGTCGACCAAGGTTAGGACAACTCTTCATGCTGAAGAAACTACAACTCGTGCATCTGGAGTCTAGACAAATAGATGGTTGATACTAGTTTCGAAAAGAGCTTTAGAGTCAAAGACAAGTCACTTTCATTAGTTGTAACAAATAACAAGACTGCAGTTATAGTATAGGAGTACAAGAGAAAATAATTACATAAAAAACATATAAGTTAGCTAGTGAAGAGGCTACCTATATATGTTTTACGCCATGATAAACCTCATGGTACCTACACCTTATCTTGAAAAGACAAAAGCAGGGGAAATTGTGAAAGACGCGGTATTAGAAATAAGCATAGGGTTAGATTTTTTTCGATACAACTATAGGCAACCTAATAGTTAAAACCATCCAAATGTAAGTCGATAAAAACTTAAAGGAAACAGACGAAATTGAGATAATGCATAACATTAAGTACTTAGTCTATGCAGTTTGTTCACAATTCGTTATCATCACAACATACTTGAAGTCAATATACAGATTGTCAAAAAGATTGTTTTTTTGGCCTAAAATACTATAGCGTTGACGCGTCTATATTAGCCATAGAATTGGAATTGGAGGATCTAATCTCTTCCAGCAGGGTGAATTTCCTATCTGATATTATCCACTTGCTGATGATAATACTTTTCAACAAAAAGTTTGGTCACAAAATACTATTTTCTTATTCTCCCTCCACCTATTGTACCTCTCCTTAAAGAAAAATATTCGACAACTTGCTACAACTCAACGCCTTCTTCTCCATCTTATAAGGACCTAACGTAGCATTATGTTGCCCATACCATTCACTTGAGCTAGCACTCGGCTTTAGGCGAAGTAGCTCTGCACACACGTGTACAACATGGCCTCGTGGACTGCAAGGCAAAACAAGAAGTTCGAAGAGGCTTTGGCGTTATATGACAGAGACACACCTGATCGTTGGCATAACATTGCAAGGTGTGTAGGTGGAAAATCAGCTGCAGAAGTGAAGAGGCATTATGAAGTACTTGTGAAGGATATCATGCAAATAGAAAATGGTCAAGTACCTTTACCAAATTACAAAGCCGCGGCTGAAACCAATAACAGATCAGGTTATGCCAATGAACATAGGTATTAAACATCAAAACTAATCTTTTATTAATTTTGTACAAGTCATTGATACGTTCTGTATTCGATTCCCATATGGTTCGTGTCATTTTCCTATTCATGGTACTGTTTATGTTTATCACCATCTATCCATTTTTAGTAACTTTACAAGCCAAAGACTAGTCACACTCCTTGTTGACACTTTTATTCTAAAGAATAAATGCTTATAGTTTCAACTCTCTGCATCCACGATTGTTTCTTGTTCCTCGATAAAAGAAAATGTACGCAAACAAGTAACTAATGCTTATGAACATGTCTATATGTTGTTGAACAGGCTTCTGAAGAACCTGAAGTTACAGTGAGAACAAATTTCGCGGCCATGCTGAATAACATCACAAGTTGTCTGTTATATTTGCAAATGCAAAAGGCATAAATTGTGAATTTATGTCTTAAGTTTTTGAAGCAAGCAAAATGTATTATGACTATTGTTGTTCATCTCTATCCATTTAACTTTTGTTTTACTGTTGTAATGTTTCTCAAACGCATAATATAAAGTCTACTTCACTTTCATGTTATAGTGTAATATGTTTGATAAAATAAAATCAAAATTACACGTTTTATAGTCTGAATTCAATGGATCGTAATTCTCAATTCATTTGTTCTTTTTTAGATACTTGTAAAATATTCAAGTACACTTTCACAATGAGATTGTCACACGGTTCAGTATCATAACAATCAAATCTCACACCGTACATGAGTTCATATGTGATTCTTTAGGTTACTATTAGAGATTACGAATTCGAGCTATGGGAGCTAACAACATCATGAGTTCATATGTGATTCTTTAGGTTATTATTAGAGATTACGAATTCGAGCTAGGAGCTAACATCTAAAAAATAGTTCATATGTGATTCTTTAGGTTATTATTAGAGATTACGAATTCGAGCTAGGAGCTAACATCTAAAAAATAAAAGTAGGAACGTAAAAATGGAGATGCGGGTATCGATCCCCGTACCTCTCGCATGCTAAGCGAGCGCTCTACCATCTGAGCTACATCCCCTTTCACATGCTGTGCATCTTATATTAAAATAAATATATCAAATAAACATCTAGTAAACAGAAATAGTTGTACAAGGAAGGAACATTTAGCACTTTTTTTTTTTAAGAATCAAAACTGCTTAAATGACATATTTATGTATTATACCATTATAAAACTAAATCAATTCAGACTCGCTTTAAAAAATTGTATACAACGTCTATATATTAATTTTTATCTCATAGGATCAATCACAAAATTAATTTTGTAATACATCAACAAGGTAGATTAAAATTTTACAGGAACACCTTTACATGTAGAAAATTATTATTGCCATTGAATACCAAGAACAAAAAAAAATATACTATTTTCTCTTGTACATAGTTAGGTAACTAACAAACTAATCAAACTCCCCTCAGCTTTTTTCGAGCTTCTGTCTGTCAAAGGTTCGAGAATCAATGAAAGATCATCACCGTCTTTGTTATAGGCGAGCAAATTAACAGACGAAAATAAAAAAGGAAAAATCTTGAACACCCAACACATCTCCTCTTCGTCTTCTTCGTATGACCAAATTTGTACCAATTCTTGAGTCTCATAACTATAAGCAACAATTTTATGTGCCAAAACTTGTAGATATAATACCTGTAAATCCTTATTGAATGCACATGGCTTCACTGTGTACCCTGTTTCAAACCCCAATCTTACAAAATGATCAAGCTTGAAGTCATTTCCTCTGAAACTCCATATGAAAACTCCATTGTCAACTGGATCACAGAATTGTATTACTCCGTCTTCTTCCGATGATTCGTATAAAAACTGAGAGTGGTAAACATCTTTTCTTCTGGAATTGTTTTTCGGCAGTGAAAACAGTGTAAATACTTTGAAATCTATGTCGTATACCAACAAACATAAACTCCATATCCAGTACAATTTTCTTTTCTCGCGAGAAAAAACACTCGAATTATAGCATTGCCCTCGAATAAATCCATCTGATTGGAGGAGATGGGAATTCAAAATTTGAATTTGGGTTTCCCGCCACTTCCATGAATTCGATCCGAAGATAATACAATTCACCATTTGGGTATCGAAATCAATTTCTTCCCAGAAGAAAGCGATAACTTGAAACGAATTTAACTCAAAAACAAGACTTGAACAAGTGGGTCTTGAAATATGATGAGAAATTGGTAGAGAAATTAACTGGTTAAGAACAGGGGATGAAACAGAGTATGTCCAGAACCCATTGTTGTTATTTTCTGAAGCGTAAAGAAGAACCCCATTACAAGAATCGATCAAATAAGGGAATTTATGAGTGGAAGATGAATGGGAAGTACAAAATTTGGGGATTTTTTTCTGGGTTAAGTCGTGTAACTTCATGAAAACTGATTCTTGATAAGTTTTGTGTTTGAGGAAGATCACAAGACCAGTTGAAGTTGTGAGAGGGTAACAATGGCGGATATTGGTAATCGAATTTCGCCATGTTTTCGAAACAATCTTCAATTGGATGAGAGATTTAAAGGGAATTTTAGTGATAATTGATTCAACTATATGATTTGATAAATTCCCAAGCTCTATCATCTCTTCTTCTTCTTCTTGCTCTGTTTCCATGGCAATCGCCATTGCTAATCCCCTCTGTTTTTTGAAGTTAAATTTCATATTCAATCAATTAATTAATACTTAAAAGGTATTTATAGAAACCCTAATAAACTAGCTATGGCGGTTAATTATCAATTACAGTTAATTTATTTGTGTTTGATAATTAATTAATTGATTAATTGTACTTGGTATGCAAGATTATAAGTAAGTAAATGCTTGATGAGCAAGCATTAAATTTCTATAGTTAAACGGGTTGATAACTAATCACCTATATTTTCTCACTTAAATATTTATTTTTGGCTATTTATTTACAATTTTTTTGGCTAGTTATATTTTTGGTAAAGTTTAATCATGTAATATATGACATATGTATATATATAATTTATAGCGTAACTTTCACATATAACAAATAAAAAATTTATATTTGCATGCTATAGTAAAGTTTGCGTAATTGCGCTCCATAGCAAACATAAAAATTGTATAATTCGCTATACATATACAGTTGAAGCAAATTGTATAAAACGAAGTGTATAAAACAAGAAAGAGAAAGACACTTGGGCAGAGAACTGTATAAAAACGAAGTGTATAAAACATATTGTATTATAAGTGTATAGAACGATTATATACAATTTGAATTTGTATAAAATGAGAATGAAAGAAAACAAAAGAGACTTGACAAGGAATATACAATTGAATCGAATTGTATAAAACGAGAAATGGAGAAATTAGATACAATTTAAAAATTGTATAAAACGAGAAAGAGTGAAAGGCAAAAAAAAACGGGATAGGGAAATATTTTTATTGTATAATCATAAGTGTATAGGACAAATAGCAAAACTATAGAGCGCTAATATGATTTTATATTTATTATTCCTAAAATTTACTATTCTAAAAATTATTTTAAAATACTCATAAGTTTGTATTATCATTCTATAATGAAAAGTGTTTCGTGAAAAGTCATTACAAGAACATAATTCAAATTCATTAAAATGAATTTGAAAAAAAAGGAAGGAAATAAAAGAAAAATGTCATTGATTTGTGTATGAAAAACTACTATTATTACTTGTAATTGGAAGTGACTTCGAAGAACAAGCTAGGATAAAAATAGTATATAAAGTATTTATATAAATAAATAAATTTTATTCAACAAATTAATAATGAAATTTAATCAAAAATTTTGAATGATAGGTGTTTTTATTCAGCTACTAGTAATAGTGTGATTATTTAAGAGTGTATTTATATATTATTTTATGCATGTATTAATTATATAGAGATTGATTATTTATTCACTCCCATAAGGTATCTATTTCTTATTTCATGCATAAAAAGATACATAAATTCTTTCATAACTTTTACATATTTTAATAGTCATGCAAGTTTCTTAAATATATACATGAATTAGATATTTTTCTATACCTATCGAACATAAATGTCGTACAAATTATATAAAAATTAATATAAAAATAACTTATCTCTTATCAGCTATCAAACAACTTGTAATTTCACAAATAAAATATGAAAATGTTAATAGGTAAACTATAAATATGTTATATTTAATAGAATCTAACACTAATAAACAATTCAAAGTAAAGAAAAAAAATTGCTATAACGTTGCTCTCAATTAAATCAGATGTCATAATTTTGACGTTTCACAAAAATAGAATTTTTTTTAAAGAAAATTGTCATATTTGTTGAAGTAACATGTGTGCCCATATGTGGTCCTGTTATTATTAGAAAGTAGGTAAAAGAAGTATGAAAAATACTATATTATAATTGGATCTCATGATATAATAAGTGAACATAATTTGGCACAGATTAAGAAAAGCATCCTCAATTAAGGATATTAATAGAATATTTATTCATGCCATAAAAGGAAAGAATAGTATAATTGCATGTGTTTTTTTAATTACATGTTTGCAAGACTCAAATTGTTATGTTTATTAGTCGGTGCTTACCTTAAAATAATAAATGCATATATTATTTGCACATCAACTTTTTCTATTTAATTATAGTTGACTAACATGTACTTTTATATTCTAATAAAGTCTACCTAATTATGATAAGACAATTCTCCCTCATTAACTTTTGTTTGTTTTATGTTATATAAATTTTAGTGATTCAAATCTTAATTATTAGTGTATATTTGTTATATTACTTTATAACCATGCACTTAACGATTTTAAATAGATTTGAATAATTTATAATATTTTTAGTTATTCAGAAAAATACACAAGTATCTTTTTAATCTATGTTCAAAAAACTTCAAAGACACACTTATACTATACTAATGTTCTATTACTTCCCTAAATTTATTTTATAGTAATTTTCTACCTCTTTTTGATCTACGTGGTATTGGGTTGAAAAAAAAATAAACCAGTTTTGATCCCACAAAATAGTGTCACGTAGACCAAAAGGGGGAAGGAAAATTACATATAAAATAAGTTCAGGGGAATAATATGACCTTGGTATAGTATAAATGTGTCTTTAGATTTTGGCATAGGTTGAGAAAGTATTTGAGCATTATCCCTATTTATAATCATTTACAATCATCATTACCCATAATAATCGTTCATCATAATTATTAGTTATCACTTCTGGCTTCAACTAATCACAAAACTTTTAAAAAATCATTAATATGTCATATAAAAATTATTTATAAAAAGTAATAATTTTACCGTTACTTTGATATTTCATCAAAAACATACAAAAAAACTTTTAATGGATGCATTTCCCAAGTTATCATATAAATTGATAATGACCACAAGTAGCCTTCTGATTCCTCCTATGGTCCATTATCTTCATGTTTCAACATTTATAGCTTCTGCTTCTTGCATAGCTTATTTAAATAAAATTACATTTTAATATATATATAGAAAAAGTGAAACAAACTTTCATAGACCCAATTTAATAATATACCATTTGTTTCCATTAATTTTAAAAG